AAAGGGGATCACATGAGTGCCGGGGCCTTGCAACCGTCATAAATACGAGTCAGTTGCCAAGCATTTGAATTTTGATCATGTGATCCTGGGGAGGCTGCGACGGTCATAAGTGTGAAAAACAGTCATAAGTCACTTTTTTCCAGTGCCCTTGTAACTTGGAACAGTCACTCAGCAAACTGTTGTAAGTTGAGGACTGCCTATATTCCAGTTTTCCTTTTCTGATTGGCTTAGGCTCATGGAAACAAACTTCCAGTCTTAAAAGTGGTTTGCTAAGGAAAAGGAACAGAATTTATTTTAAAGCTTGAAATGTCTCCGTCTCTTGGTCTGTTGGATTTAAGAATATCTTGGCAACCTTTTTTTCCAAAAAGATGCGGAGAATTACTTTTAGACTTTTTATCTATTTTTCCCCTTTGCAGACGATTGGACGATAATATTCGGATGGTGGTGAGGGCCCAGACCAACGTGGGGCAAGATGGCCGTGAGGTACATTCTTATATAATAGTAATAATAATAATAGTAATAGTAATAATAATAATAATAATAATAATAATAATAATAATAATAATAATAATAACAAACAAACAAACAAACAAACAAACAACTTCCAGTGTTGGAGCATTCACTGCTTCTGGAGGCAGGTTGTTCCACTGGTTAATTGTTCTCACTGTCAGGAAATTCCTCCTTAGTTCTAGGTTGCTTCTCTCCTTGATTAGTTTCCATCCGTTGCTTCTTCTCCTGCCTTCAGGTGCTTTGGAGCAGGGCTTTTCAACCAGTGGTACGGGTACCACCTGTAATACATTGGCACCTGGCAGGTGGTATGCGACCATCCTAGAAAAGTGGTAGCGGGGGAGGGGAATGAGCTGAACCGGTGGCAGCACCGCACAAGCCTGAGCGAGAGACGGCTGGAGCTGCAGGGCTGTCAGGGCTCAGCGGAAGCGCCAGGATCAGTGCCGCTTTCCAGCTGATCAGCGCTTCTTTGGGGCTGTCAGGGCTCAGTGGAAGCGCCAGGATCAGTGCCAGGATCCAGCTGGAGCTCAGTGCTGATCCTGGTGCTTCTGCTGAGCCCAGAAGAAGCACCAATCAGCTGGAAAGCAGCATTGATCCTGGTGCGTCTGCTGAGCCCAGAAGAAGCGCCGATCAGCTGGACTGTTGCAGCATCTCCAGGGTCTTGTGATTTACATTCAGATGCTTGGCAACCGATTCGTATTTATGACGGTCACAGTGTCCCAGGGTCATGTGAAGTGACCAAAACCTGCTGCAACCACCCAGCAGACGCGGGGGGGGGGGAGAATAAAAACCAAACACCCCCCCACCCCACCCCCGCTGCCAATCCCCAACAGAAATGCTCACAACAATGAAAACCTCGGACAGGAGGAAGAGCGCGGCCGGGTGGGCAGGCAGGTGTCTTGCTCGGCTGTGGCTTGGGGGGCACTTTTTTCAGTGCCATTGTAACTTCGAACGGTCATTAAGCGAACTGTTGTAAGTCGAGGACTATCTGTACTTTATCACTTTTTTCCATTTTTCCAAGTTTTTGACACCTTGCTAGGCGACTGGTGGTACTCGCATGTTGCCATATCCTAAAAGTGGTACAATGGGTGAAAAGGTTGAAAAGCCCTGCTTTGGAGAATAGCTAGTAATCCGGTTGTTAAGTCAATCTGGCTTCCAAACTGACTTTCCTGGTCTGAAGGTCGCAAAAGGAGATCACATCACACACACACACACACATACCCCGAGACGTTGCAACTGTCATAAGTACGAGCCAGTGGCCAAGCGTTCCAATTTTGATCACCTGACCCTGGGGACGCTGCAACGGTCGTAAAGGTGAAAAACGGTCATAAGCCCCTTTTTTTTCCCGCTGCCGTGGAAACTTCACATTCACTTTCTTTTTTTCAATGCTGTTGTAACGTCGGTCGCTAAATGAATCGTTGCAAATGCAGAACGATCTCTTAATTCCAAATAGTTTCTCCTCCTTGCTACTTTCAATGTGTTTTTTTTCTTTTTTCACCTCTTTTTTTCCATTCTCTATTCTCTTCTTTGGGGGCAGCGGGGGGGGCAGACTCTTGTTTCAGCTTGCAGAAAATTTGCAGACAATGCAGTGGGGGGGGGAGAAGGAGAATTCCCCCCCAACCTGCGTGTCTGGTGGTCGTTCCCAGGGAGGAAATATTAGCGGAACGGCATTCCAGAATGGGGCGTCCTGCCGACTTCCCCCCCCCCCCGCCGTTCCAGACGGCGGCTGGGTCTGACGCCTTGGCAGGGGCTGGGAAACAGATCCCCTTTTGGCTGTGGTTGGCTGGGCCACCTGATGGTGTCCCCCCTCTCCCCAAACACACACATAGACACACAAACACACAGATTAGCATTTCGCTTCCATTCCAGTGAAACATGATCCCGAGGGCTGCAGCTGAATCCCGCAGTGTGTTGTGCCGGCATGCTGGCAGCTGGTTCAAAGCCCTGGGCTCTTGGTCTCCCACGATGCCCTGCAGCTGTGATGGAGTGGAGGAATTCTGGGAAATTGATCAGGGGGGGAAGGGGGACACCCGGATTTATTTTGACCGAGCCTTGGGGAAATTGGGCAAGGAATGAGAAGCAGTGGCTTGAAATATGCGGGCTCTTTGTTTCTCAGTGGGTTGTTTGAATAGCGTAATCCAGTGTTTGTCAACCTGGGATGTCTTAAGAAGGGTGGACTTCAACTCCCAGAAATCTCCTGTTTTAAGCTGTGTGGACTTCCACATTCCTTAAAGCGGTGCTGGCTGGGGAATTCTGGGAGTTGAAGTCCACCCATCTTAAAGCGTGCTGGCTGAAGAATTAATAATAATAATAATAATAAAAGTTGGAAGGGACCTTGGAGGTCATCTAGTCCAACCCCCTGCTCAGGCAGGAAACCCTATACCATTTCAGACAAATGGCTGTCCAGTTTCTTCTTAAAAACTTCCAGTTTTGGAGCATTCACAGCTTCTGAAGGCAAGGAGTTCCACTGATTAATTGTTCTAACTGTCAGGAAATTTCTCCTTAGTTCTAGGTCGCTTCTCTCCTTATTTAGTTTCCATCCGTTGCTTCTTGTCCTGCCTTCAGGCGCTTTGGAGAATAGCTTGACTCCCTCTTCTTTGGGGCAGCCCCTGAGATACTGGAAGACTGCTATCATGTCCCCCCTCGTCCTTCTCTTCATTAAACTGGACATACCCAATTCCAGCAGCTGTTCCTTATATGTTTTAGCCTCCAGTCCCCTGATCATTCTGGGACTTGAAGTCCACCCCAGAGGCGTAGCGTGGGGGGTGCAGGGGGGGCCGGCCGCACCGGGCGCAACATCTGGGGGGGGCGCTCGCACTCGCAGCTCTCTGCCCCTGCCTGGCTCACTCACTCTCTCTGCAGTGCTGGCTGTGCGAATCCGATCCAAGCCGCCGGGTCGCCGCCCACTGTGGAGGGGGGGGCGCAAATTACTTGCCTTGCCCCGGGTGCTGACAACCCACGCTACGCCACTGGTCCACCCCTCTTAAAGCATGCTGGCTGGGGAATTCTGGGAGTTGAACTCCACCCCCCCTTAAAGCATGCTGGCTGGGGAATTCTGGGAGTTGACCTCCACCCCCCCCTTAAAGCATGCTGGCTGGGGAATTCTGGGAGAGGAAGTCCATCCAAAGCCTGCTGGCTGTCTTTTATGACTTGGGGACTACCACTCCCAGAATTCCAGGGCAGGCTCAGGAATGCTGGGAGTTGAAGTCCACAAGTCATCAAAGGGCCCAGGTCCCCCGCCCTTGTGATGAAGGAAGAACGCAGCGATGCAAAGCTTTTGGACCTCTCAGCGGCTTTTGATACCGTAGACCACGATATCATGCTGCGGCGTCTCGGTGGGCTAGGAGTGGGAGGCACCGTTATGCGGTGGTTCTCCTCCTTCCTCACCAACCGTACGCAGTCTGTATTGGCAGGGGGACAGAGGTCGACTCCTAGGCCCCTAACTTGTGGGGTGCCGCAGGGGTCGGTCCTCT